ATCTAGTCCTTGGGCACTTCCAAGTCTTGTTCTTTTGTTTCCCCTCTTTTGATATGTACATCCATCACCAACAAGCGATGTTGATTAGCCACGCTCTCTCCTGGTATAACTTTGCAATCCTTACAAGTTATACGATCCCCTTTCCTCATTAGAAGAAAATCTATTTGTGTTACAATAAATAAAAAAGAGTTCTCAAATGTACATAATCTTTACTCTGTTTTTTCAAATTCTAAAGCATGATATGGTATCTACCAAATGGAAATAATAAAAGGAAGAAGACCCTTAAGAGTATATGAATGGGCAATCTTTTTCTATATGTCGACTAAATGATGTCCTCTATTTGTTTTTCCTTTTGTTATTTTTTGGCTCAACTATATTTTTTTCCAAAAGTATGCTTGTATTGCACAACTTGCAAGGAGATTCGTTCATTAATTGATACCATGACCAAAGTAATAACCAAACAAAACAAACAATGGGTTAAGGGGATGTAAAAATGGCTTCCAGAACTATTGGATGAATAGCATTTGGAAATATGTTAAGGTTGGAGGAACTACAATGTTGGCATCAAATGAAACATTTCTCATATGACCATCAAACGCCACTTTTTTTGTCAACATGTTTAAATTATAACCGCTCAGTTTAGGAGGATAATTATCTTTTTTTTTTTTTTCCAAATAGGAAGATAATTAGCCAACTGTTCATCTTCAAATATTGTCCAATATTTTAATTCGAATTGTAGAGATAAAATTCAGAAATTGAAGAAACGTGGCATACCTGTAAAGAAGGTGGATGGATTAAGGTGCAAAACAAGCAATGCTCCTTTGGGTTTTCCTTCTGCAAATTTGTCAAAGCCTCCTCAAACAAAACCGAAACCAAAAACAAAAACTTAACCATTGCCAAAGCCTCCTCAAGCCAAAAACAGAATGCCAGTATCAATTACAAAGAAAACAAATTTCAGACCTCGTTACTTGTTTGTTCCACGATTAGTAAATTCCAGAAACTGATTTGTAGAACTTCAATTTAATAATTATGTGAAAATGCATGAGAAGATTGACATTAAGGAATAAGGAGCAATGTGATAGAGAACAAAATACAAAAGTTTAATAATTGAGAACTATGGAGGAGGAATAAAACTCAATTAACCGAAAGAAAAAAAAAAACAGAAGCTAAAAGTGGATGATCATGCAATTGAAAAACCCAAATGTGCAGTAAAAACAACCAAGAGAAAACAGAAGCCAAAAGAAATCACACTAAAAAAAAAATCAAATTGAAATTAAGCAATCGCTGTGCACTTGATCAACCCTAAAGTAACGTACAAATGCCAATTGCCAAAAAATTTAAGAAACCACGTTGAAATTAAGCAGACATTGTTGTAATAAGAAAAAAACCTCAAATGTGCAGTATAATTGAAATCAACTCCATTTGGAGGGAATTAAAGAATGCCAAAACCACAATAACTTCATATTACATTAAACATTTTGGCTAATATGTTATAAGCACAACCAACTCATCCATATTAAGAACCCAACAGAAATAGAAACCAAATGATGCACTCTGGCAATTAATTGTTTCACGCATCAACTTGTGAACGAAAGGAAAGATGTGAACAGAAAATAAATTCAACAAAACTGGAAAAATGAAGAGAAGAAATTCCACTTATGAATAGTGGTTAGGAAAAAAAACCAAAATGAATCAAAAGTAGAAGAAATTCCATGACCGACTTGCATATTTATCCTATACAGCAGTCGTTATCAAACTCTTCAGTCGAGGCTCTACACATTGCTTATATCTGTGAGATGAATACGACAAACATTTGAGGTTGAATTAGTGAATTTCAAATACACTGGAAAAGAGAAAATGCAGACCACATCTTGACAAAAATTAGAGAAAATGGCGGATAAAAAATAGAAAGGGAAATCGATTAGGTACTCATGACTAAAGGAAGATTAGAAATTTCATGAAAATAAAAAGAAGAATTGAAAGCAAAATCAAATGTAGAAGAAAATTTTCATACTACTAAACTACAATATTGGGCGAGTCTCGCCCAGACAACACACATCACATTTATCTCCACCGCCTGCACCGATACAAATGATTTGAAACCTAATGGAAAAAGCACGACAAATAATTGGAAAATGGATTAATATAAACAAAAACTCCCCAGAGCCAAGAGTTTCCTTGTAAGCATAAGAACCTCACCAACGGGCTTCATTGGAATGTAACGAATGCAGAGGGAAACATAAAGACACTTACATGGAGAAGAAACAAATCCAAGTTTTTCACTCAAAAGAAAATAACCAACAATCATACATGAAAATAGAAGGAAAAATGAATTTGGTTAATGGTGGACAACTGTTGGAAAAGAATGCAGAGATCACGGAGAATCCGAGATTGAAAGTTACCTGTGATAAGAATCAGTTGATGTAGAGGAAGAGTCTTTGTTAATATATCTATCTGTCAGTTTCTCCCTCCCTCTCGTTGTCTTCTCCTTGATTTCTGCACGACTACAAATAAATTGCCAAAATTAATATGAAAGTAAACTTACCCAGTGAAATTTGAACACAATGAATTACTTCTCCAGTAGAGTTCATTTCCATATCCTACTACTTTGAGAGGATTTAAAAAACCCTGTTTTCAAAAAATTTGGAATCTCTAATAACAGAAGAATCACACTATGCAAAACCCAAGTCGTTTATTAGGACGAAGAATCGCAAAAGCCTCGGAATTTGAAATCTCATACTTCATTTGAGGTTTTTTCTAATTGAAAACCCAACAATAATAATCCAATCGAAATTGATTGTAAAGACAAAAAGTGAAGGAATTTACGAAAAATCACCTGAAATCTTGTCTAAATCGAGTGTGGATTTCAAAGGAACTTCGAAAAAACACGAAGAAGAGGGGTCTGTGCGGAAGACGAAAGTGGGTTCATTTTTTCCGATGTTTGACCTGTTGTTTCTGTAGAACATGTAGTAGATGGCGGTTTCATCCGAGCTATAAAATATCGATGATATCGGAAATATATGGAAATTTCGATGAAAATATTGAGATATTATCGATATCGATAAAAATTGAATAAAAACCACGGAAATTATAAGAAAAACTTGAAAATTTTTATTGAAACTTTGCAAGATGTTTATTTAGTCAATTATCTATTAGTTTATCACAAAAAATTAGAAGGAAATGCATTGCATGATAGATATAACTGATTTAAGTTGATTATATAGCGAGCTGACAAACATTGTGAGTGTAGAAAATATGTAGTAATTAATGAAAAAAGTTTAAACACATCATAATCATTTATATATATAATGAATTAGTATAATATTTTATACTTTATACATTGCATGGTAAGATACATGAGTGACTTAGCAAGGTCGAAAATATCGGTAGTTCAAAAAAATATCGATAGTCCAAAAACACGAAAATTTCGATGAA